AGGGTGCTGCATGACGCCCGGCAGGGAACCAAGAGCCAGAAAGACCGAAAAGAAGAGGCTCAGCAGGTAAGGGCTCCACAGGGACCACGGCAACTACTCAGGGAACTCGGCTGCCCTACCGGCAACCACGCATGTGGCCCCCTTCACCAATGGGTGTGAAATAGGAGATTCCTGCTGGGGTGTGTACAAGGCAGGACCTATCAGCTGAGTCTCCACTAAGGGCCCAGAGCGCTGCCTTGTACAGCACGGTCACAGCAGCTGGAGGCTCTGCCTGAAACAGCAGAATCCCTGCCTGGTGGGGACCACCGCTGGCAGGTGAAATGTCAAATGTCAACATCTGGGGAGGGGATGGAGAGAGGAGCTGCTCCAAGAGGGGGTGGTCCACTCCCTTCTGAAGCCCCCAGCCCCTCCTGCCTTCCCAGGACAGAGCCGTCACACACAGGCTACAGGGCCCCTCCTTGCTGTAATAAACAAGCCCGCCCTGCTCACGCCACCGGCCTGGCCCTGCAGCGTCAGTCCCTCTCTCTCCATGGGACGCCTGTCATCTGGCATCCCAGCTCCCTGTACTGACTCGGCTCCTGCGCAGGGACTCGGTTCTCTTCTGCCAGATTCTCACCTCACCTCTCCTGTGGGTCAGAGGGCAAGGGCTCACTGCAGGTGTTGACCCCATAGAGGAGAGACGGGCACGGATGACATTTTGGGGAGGGCGTTCCCTACAGAGGGCGGGGCACCGGCAGGGCTGGGCGAGAACCAGCCTGGCCAGCTCCGAAGGAGGAGGCTGGGCAGGGTTTCTCCACGGTGGTGGGCAGTGGTGGGGTGGGGAGGCCTCAGGGCCCGAGCAGCAGGGATTTAATGGGCCATCCGGGAAGTGGGTGGGGAAAAGCCGAGGGACAGGTGGTCTGGGCTCTGGCTGCATGGATGGTGAGGAGGACAGGGACGGCGGCAGGAGGGGATTCTGGAAGCGGCTTGGCTGAGCTGTACTTTGAAGGCAGAGCTGAGCAGACCTCAGGAAGGACCGGGTGTGAGGTGTGAAAGCAGAGAGGAACACGGGATGGTTCCTATAGAGAGGAAATTATCCAGTGCCAGTAAGTGACCACCATCTCACAAACTCTGCTCAGAAGATGCCAACTGTCTGCCAATCAAGTGAAACAAGATAATTGCTAAGTCCCAGTGAGACATTTGGGAACTTGACACACCCTGCACAATTCATCTGGAAGAAAAAGCACATGGCCACAGCAGGGCCCTTTCACAGGGCCGGTGAGGAGGAGGGTGGGCCCGTCCTGGCAGATGTGAAAAGGGCCCAGACCTGCAGGTGGAGACAGCAGAGCACAGGAGGGGCCCCTATGGCAACTAAGAGGCAGGCATGTGCCCACCAGGGAAGAGAAATGGATTACTCGATCCCACTGACCGTTTGGGGATAGATCTAGATAGCTGGCTCTCAAACCTCACACAAAAATTAATGCTAGATTGGTTATACAATTACAGGTGAAACAGTAATGCATTAAAACGGTGCTGAGAATCTGGCCAAAGGCTACCCTTGCATACATAAGCCCAGCGAGGGACTGCTCTCTATGCACTCCAGCAAGCCAGGCCCTGAGGAAAGGACAGGTGGATTTCACAGCACGAAAAAAACTTCCACGTGCACACTGCAAACTGCAAGATAGTTATTTGCACACAAGGCATAGGAGAAGTTGCTGTGTTTTAGAGAGTTCCTATCCATCAGGAAGAGCAAACACCTCCAATAAAAAGGGACCCGTGGAGGCCGGGCATGGTGACTCCCGCCTGTAATCCTAGCACTTTGGGAGGCCGACGCAGGCAGATCACGAGGTCGGGAGATCGAGACCATCTGGGCTAACACGGTGAAACCCCATCTCTACTAAAAATACAAAAAACTAGCCAGGCGAGGTGGTGGGCGCCTGTAATCCCAGCTACTCAGGAGGCTGAGGCAGGAGAATGGTTTGAACCCGGGAGGCGGAGTTTGCAGTGAGCGGAGATGGCACCACTGCACTCCAGCCTGGGCTACAGAGTGACACTCCATCTCAAAAAAAAGAAAAAAAAAGGGACCAGTAGAAAACATCAATGTCACGCCAACAGGCACAGATGCTCAGACTCGCGCATAAATCCTTAGGAGCCTGGGTAAGGCTAAACCTCCTGCAGTGCTCATGGCCGCGGGTGCAGGGTGAAGTCACGCTCACAGTCTTTTGACCACGCTTTAGACTGATAGAACCTTCCCCAAGAGTGCGCCAAGAATACACAACCGAGAACAAAAACTCTTAGAACCTGAAAACATAACTTCCTGGAATTTAACTGGAGGGAAAACTAGGCCAACCATGTGTGTGTACAGCATTGTTTAGAACCGTTCACCCTTTAACGTGGACCATGAAACCACCCGCATGCCTGTAACAGGCATCACATGGGTAAACTCCGCCTAGCCCAGGGAGTGCAGTGCCGTCAGCCACCGAAGATGGCGGGACCAACACCATGTGTGGTAGGCTGGGCTTGAAGAACTAACCGTGCGATTTTAATAAGCAGCGGGGACACGAGACAGTGCCTGCGTGTACGCAGTGTGGCTCAGTGTGGATGCCTGCATGCACGGGTTACAGTCAAAGAATATGTCCCCCAAGGGCCGGGCGTGGTGGCTCATGCCTGTAATCCCAGCACTTTGGGAGGCCGAGGCGGGTGGATCACTTGAGGTCAGGAGTTCGAGATCAGCCTGCCCAACATGGTGAAACCCTGTCTCTACTAAAAGTACAAAATTAGCCGGCATGTTGGCACACGCCTGTGATCCCAGCTACTCAGGGGGTGAGGCAGGAGAACTGCTTGAACCCAGGAGGCAGAGGTTGCAGCAAATTGAGATGCCGCCATTGCACTCCAGCCTGGGCAACAAGAGAGAAATTCTGTCTCAAAAAAATAAAGAATATGTTCCCCAAAATGCTGAGAATGCTTATCCTTGAATTGTAAGATTAAGATGATTTTCTCATTCTTAAAAATTATTTTTCAGCATCTCACTCTCACCCAGGCCAGAGCACAGTGATGCCATCACAGCTCACTGTAGCCTCAAACTCCTAGTTCAAGCAGTCCTCCCACCACAGCCTCCTGAGTAGCTAGCTGGGACTAGGGGTGTGTGCGACCACACCCAGCTAAGATCTTTTTTTTAGAGACAGGGTCTCACTATGTTGCCCAGGCTGGTCTGGAACTCCTGGGCTCACGCAATCCTCCTACCTCGGCCTCCCAAGTCACTGGGATCACAGGCATATGCCACCTCCCCCAGTTATTTTTATCACTCGTCTTTGCTGTCTTCTCTCTTAAAAAAGCATATGTTGCATACATAATACAAAATAAAGCTATTTGGGGAAATTATGTTGCAGAAAAGTATTTAATAACAGAGATGTTCATGGCCTAGTTCAGAACAGAGAGGATGCTCCCACTTCTAGACACACGTGTCTGTGCGCACTCATGCCTGTAGAGATCGAAGGGACACACACAAAGTGTTGGCCGTGGTAATTTCCGGGTGTCTGTGATACGGTTTGGATCTGTGTCTCTGCCCAAATCTCACGTGAAATTGTAATCCCCTATGCTGGAGGTGGGGCCTGGTGGGAGGTGATTGGATCCCGCGGGCAGACGTCCCCCTCTGGTGCAGTTCTCGTGGTCACAGAATTCTCACGAGATCTGGCTGTTTAAAGTGTGTGGCAGCCCCTCACCTTCCTCCCACTCCAGCCATGTGAAGTGCCGGCTTCCCCTTCTCCTCCTGCCATGATTGAAGCTGCCACATGCCGCCATGCTTCCTGTGCAGCCTGCAGAACCCCGAGCCAGTTAAACCTCCTTTCTCTATACATTTTCTGGTCTCTGATATGTATTTGTAGCAGTGCGAGAATGGACTAATACAGTGTGGATAATTGTCATTTGCAGGTTCTTTCTTTTGCTTTACAGATATTCTCTAACTTCTACAGAATTAAGTGTACCATCAAATAAGTACCCATTAGCAGCTTTTTCCTTTCTAGCAGAGGTAGTGGGAGCTGGGGGTGCCTACACCCACCCAGCATCCTGGAGCCCCCGACCAGGAACAGCTCTTGGCGGCAGTGAGCCAGCTCACACGGTTACGACCCTCCCAGGGGCAGCCTGTGACCAGTGACCAGCCGATGCAGGGGTACAAAGGCCTGGCCCCTGCGTCCGTTGGAGCCCCTATGAAAAGCCACCCATCAGTCAGCTTGTCCCTCTGCCCAGGCTCGTTGCTGACCCCTTATAGCAGCATTTCCCAGGGCACCCCAACAAACCCCCAGCACGCAGCCCATCTTTGATGAGACCAAGGAAGTCAGCAACAAAAAGTCACTGCAGGTGGCTGCTTTGACAGTCACAAGCCAGCCTGGAGTGGGGCCTCACCTGCTTGGCTCCAGCCCCAGCACAGGCTCCCACCCCCTACACTCCCAGCTCTTCTGCCCTCAGCAGCAAACCCCCATCGTCCTCACCCCTGGACACTGTCCCCTTGTCCCCGGGGATGCTGTTGTCCTCTTCCAGGTCCGCCCCATGCGGTGCACCCTCCCCTGCCCTCTCCATGAATTTCCACGCGGGTGACCCTCGAAGGCAGCACTGCTCCCTGTCATTTGCTCCAGGCCCTCCTTCCTCTCAGCCCCAGTGATTTCCACAAACACCGTCATCTTCAGAACACTCAGCACACAGCAGACACTCCATAAGTGCACGGGGAACAAATGAGCACCGCAGACCCCAGTAGGAGCCTTGCACCCATGGGCACCTGAGCAGGGAGTGGAGCCTGCTGCCACGGGCTCCTAGCAAGGTCCCAGAACAAGCCCCAGAGACCCAGGAGTTGCCCCCACGCCATCTCTGCAGCAGGCTCCGAGTCCTGACCCTCGCCTGCCTGGTCCATCACGACGGCCCAGGCCAGGCCCCATGGGAGGCCAGGTAAGATCAAAGCCAAGGGCAGAGGCAAGCACAGGCTCCACAAAAGCTCTGGGACTGCCCCGCGAGGGGCAGAGCACAGCACAGACTGTCAAAAACACCCTGTGGAGCCAATTTATTGTGAGGTCGCAAGGGAGACACGGCTACAAAGCATGGCCCCAAAGCTGCAGAAATGCGTGCAGTAGGCTGGAAGATTCCCCGAGGTGCCTCAGGCAGGTAAGAAACCCACACAGTCCTGGGTCCTCCCCAAGCCTCGGACGTGCAGCTGCTGCTTCACTGAGATTCTTCTCTCCTCCTGGAAACTTCCTCCAGTTGTGTCACTGGAGGAGGAAAAGGTAAGGGGGAGGCGGAAGAGGGGGCTGGAGCTGGCCTCCCCCCAGGCCTGGCTCCAGAACTCAGGCTGTGTGGGGCGGCTGAGGACTGTGCTCTGTCTAGCGCTTTTGCAGGCAAGGAGACCAGATGCAGCGAGGCCTGAGGGCTATCTGCAGTAACTCTTCAAAGAGGGGCCCGCCAGACCCACCAAGTCCCATCCTGGAGTCTACAAGCCAAGGAGCTGCGACCCCACCGAGGGTGCCTGTTATTAAAAGCCCCATTGGCCGGGAGCAGGGGCTCACACCTGTAATCCCAGCACTTTGGGAGGCCGAGGTGGGTGGATCACAAGGTCAGGAGATCGAGACCATCCTGGCTAACATGGTGAGACCCCGTCTGTACTAAAAATACAAAAAATTAGCCAGACGTGGTGGCACGCGCCTGTAGTCCCAGCTACTGGGGAGGCTGAGGCAGGAGAATCGCTGGAACCTGGGAGGCAGAGGTTGCAGTGAGCGGAGATCACGCCACTGCACTCCAGACTTGGTGACACAGTAAGACTCCACCTCAAAAGAAAAAATATATATATATAAAGCCCCATTTTATAGTGGGGAAGGAGATTAGCAGCCATTCGCTTCAGGGTACAGGTCCAAGGACAGGGGCTTTCCCAGACCCACTCCTATCCCCACCAGGCTGGGAACCCAGCCAGGTCCCAGTAGAGCGGTCACCACTGCACAGCCTCACACACGAGCCTCAGCAATGCCCGCCGCCCTCGAGGCTCCAGACCCTGGTCACACCAAGGAGGGGAGGAGGGGAGCGCAGCAGAGCCGGTGTTTCTAGAAGCAGACACCTGTTGATGTCCACACTACGACTGACATCTGAGACGGCAGGCTGGGAGGAAATTTCCTGAAGGAGCCCCAAGGCCAACTGCCCTGTGGTCCAGAGGCACTGGTGTCCAGCAGAGCCCCCAGGTGTCAGTGAAGCCCCCAGATGTCAGCAGAGCCCCCAGGAGTTCAGTGAAGCTCCCACGGGTCCACAGAGCCCCCAGGGGTCCATGTTCCAGCTCTGCAGGGATGGGGTGTATCCCCTTCCAGGGCGAGGACAAGCATCATGCTGCCACAGTAGGTGAGGAAGAGCCAGGCTGCCTCAGTGGCCCCCTGATGCCCAACAGGCCCATCTGGAAATGTTGGAAAAGTGGCCTGAATCTGGAGAGATTTCGGGAAATGAAGGCGCCCCTCACCAGCACCCCAGGTCTGCGCCTTCGCCCTCAGCAGCAGCGGACCCCTTGCCTCCCAACCTGAGGGCCGACCTACCGATGGCCACCAGGTCCCCGCAGTCCTTCTTGTGGAACTCGTTCCAGGCCTTGGTCTTGCAGTACTTGCTGCAGGTCAGGATCCCGTAGCAGCGAGGGCAGGGCAAGAGGCGGACCCCGATGGAGCGGCCACACTGGTAGCAGAACTTGAAGAAGGGAATTCTGCAACAGAGCCTCACAGTCAGCAGGTGGCCACTCCGGAACCCGCTTCCCCACAAACAGCCGCTGCCTGGGAGCTGTGCCTGGCCCTGAGCTCCTGGGCTAGTCCCCACCGTCCCGCACTGTCCCGTGTTGGGCAGCCTTCACACACAGACAAAAGCCCCCAAGTCCCCGTCCTGTGGATGTTCAGCACAGCAACATTTAGAATAGCAAACCAACACATGCCGAGCTCTGGGAACCACCTCTGCCCACCAGTAAGGGCTGGTTAAGTGAATGCACATCCATTCAGGAGACCGCCATGGTGCCATAAACACAACGATGGTGGGGAACTCCTAGGCACATAGGGAAATGTCTGTGGTACACTGTGGCATGGGAGAAGTGACTCTTCGGGGGCAGGGCATGGAACCTGCCTTTGGGGTGAGCCTCAAAGCACCAGTCTCCTCTGCTTTAGGAGGAGAAACCCCTCCCTGTCCTGCACCAGTCCCCTCTCCATCACCTCGCTGGGTGGCTCAGGGTTTATGAGGTGGGGACGCCCATAAGAACAGGGCCTGGTTCCTGCCCTCTCATCCCAGAGGAGAAACAGGCATGTAAAGAGACTGTTCTGGAACAGCAGAGTGAGTACAGTGTTGAGACTCCAAGGAGAGGCCAGTGGTGGAGGGAGGGGCAAGGAGGTGCAGGTATGCAGGCTCTGTCGCACAGCCAGCAGGCCAGGCAAGCCTCCACAGGACATCTTGCAGAAGCAGAGCCTGGGCTCAAACCCCACTCAGCGGCTGTCTCTGGGACGGGAGGTGGCCACCCTCCTGCAGGACATGGAACCCCTCTCTGACCCACTGGGAGCAGCCCAGGGCAGCTCCATGAGTGTGCCCTGTGACTCTGCACCCTCATCTGCAGGGTGCATCATCTGCACCTCATCTTGGCTGAAGCCCAGAGCCTGCCAGCAGGACTTCCGGGAGGAGGCCATGCCACTTGGGTATCAGATGGCAGAGGCTGTCCCGGGATGAGGTGGTCAGGCCAGGCACAGCAGCACTGTCCAAACACAGGCTGCCATCCTGGAAAGAACCCAGCCCGCAGACACACTTACTGCCCCTGCTCCTTCACATCCAGGCCCTTGGGCAGGCTGGGGCCCTTCTTCTTCATCCTGTGGCTGGGGATCAGCTCCACTGTACGAAAGAGGGTCCCGCATTAGTACCCACATAGCAGGGTGGGGGCCGCCACTACAGATGCCACCTCCTTGGGCCCTCCCTGTGGTGCCCGCCTGCACTACCGGGGAGGCAGATGGGGGAACCAAGCCTTCGATGGCTCCATAGAGAGTGCGAGGACACAGAGCAGAGCGTAGACCTGGAGGCGGAGCGTAGACCTGGAGGCGGAGCGTAGACCTGGAGGCGCAGGGCAGTCCACGGGCTCCAGGGAGGGGCTTCACTCTTCAGTCTGCTGCTCCACCTGTGTTGTGTCTTCTTTTTAATTCATTTCAAGGTGCTTCAAATTTCCCTTTTGGGTTCTTCTTAAACTTGTTATTTAGACATGTGTTATTTTATGTGAGTTTCCCAAATGTCCTTCTGTTAGTCATTTCTAATTAAATTCTATTGTGGGCAGAGTATATGAAATGTATTATTTCTATTCTCTT